ATAAAAAAAATTCACTTTTCATGTCGTTACACCCGAATGTCCCTTCTAAGGGACAGCGAATCCACAGCGCTTTTACACAAAGAAGAATGCTACAAAAATGTCTACTTTGATTTCATTATAAAGTACATCCGTACAACCAAAACTACCAACTACAAAATTAGAAAATGATTTAGTGGCTACAAGTATAGAAAATATCTAAAACCAAAAAATTCATTTTTGAACTTTATTCAATTTTAAAATTCAAAAATATCGGATTAAAATGGAAATTTTTTTTTTCTAATTTCAATCACAGGTTAGGCTAATCTATTGTCCTACATTAGTAATAATCTAACTTATGGCCTGATGATCCGTTCTTTGTATAAATCTATTACAGCAATGTCCCTTGGAAGGGACCGCCGGGTGTAAAGGGTTAAGTGAAACATATGATACTATAATTGATATCACATTTGAAGCAAAACAAACATCAGATTATCTTTTGATAAAAGAATCAGATTTAACATATTATCATGGTCTCCCAATATGTACAAATATTATTTGTTTAGATGGGAGTCAAATATGTAACGGTATTATTGATTGTGAAGATGAACAATACTGTCAAACACCCTATATAGTCACTGATGTCATCAAATTCTTTCCTTAGCGTTTTTCCTTTTACAGTCTAGTTTTTTCCTATTGGTCAAAAACTAATGAAAATAGTTTTATTGCCGTTTTTCAGATAGCATTTTGAAAGTTGCTATTAACAGTATAAATGTTTCTTTATAAAAGAAAGATAATGCATGAAAGAGAAGACCGGACAAATGTGAATAGCTGAGATCAACAAAGAACGAAGTCCTGTGGCATGATGATGCTAAGATCATGAGAATTTTGATTAGCGATATACCCAGCCATTTTTATTTACTCCGGAACTTAAAGAAGATGGTACGCTTTTTGAAATCTAGACAGCATTTCTCGGATGAATTATATTACCAAAGCTATGCATTTGAGGTAGCATAAATGTTAGCAAACTCTTGGAATCGGACAACACCGAAAATCACAAAGAGGTCATTCAGCGAAACTAAACTGATAAAACGTGGATTCGTCGGTCAACAGCATTGACTAATATACAAAATATCTATGCATTTCATAATAAAAAAGTAAAATAAAAAGTTTTTATGTTGGTATTGTATACTTTGTATAGAAAAATTCGATAGTACATTTGAGTATACACGTGATACTTGTCGACAGTTATCTTTAACAACAAATGGTAATTGTATACCATATTTGAGGAATAGTACATGTCCACATTTATTCTTTTTTCCACCTCATTCTGTTATTGTTCCATTTGTAAAATTTTTATATACAACAAACAAGGCAGAATAGAATAAAAACGGTATACCAGATTATATTTGTTATCAAGACGAAGGATGTCAATTATTGTATCCATTAAATATAACAGTATTTAATATATATAATTTTCTCTGTCGTACACCCAGAGAATTCTATTTGAAAAAATCTACTTTATTAGAATTTGATAAGTTATTACATGTTAAGTCCCTCGAAAACACTCGACAAAAATAGTGCGTAACACCGTTACGTTTATGTTTTGATGTTTTTTTGCCTTAACTGAAGACGTTGGAAAAATTCTTTTTTTACCATCGGATAGCCCGTCTGGTGCTCTACAATTTCTGTGCTAAAAACTTTTCATTATGACCTTTACCTTTGTCGGATGGAATTCACGTTTTAGTTGATAGCACTCGAAAAAAAGGTCTTTTTTCGTAACACCGTTACGGCCTACAAAAACCGTTCTCAAAATTCGAGACTTCATGCAAAAAATTTGGTATTTATACTGTAAATGGGGGTCGACAAGCTGCATCGAATGGCGTTTAAATGAGCTTTTTAACTGTTTTAGTTTCCGAGATAATTTCATTTTAGTGCGTCCAAAACGTAACACCGTTACGTTTGGACAAGCCGTAATGTGTTATATATAAGAGTTAATAAAAAGTAATCTATTGGAACAAATAAATAAAACGGAAAAGAAAAGATAGATTTTATATATTTTCTCTCCTATACAAACATCACAGAGGAGCGCTTTACATTATTCTACGAATGATCCGTACGATTCGTTTGATGCGATTGATTCGCTCATAGTTTTGACGGCTTCCCTTAGTTATTAGACAATTAAGAATGGATATTTGGCACTTGTGTGCATTTGTAGAGCATCATTTGGAGAAGCGCTTTTGTTACTTGGAGTGCAAACACGAATTTTATTTTTCTGTGGTCCACCGATTTTCTATTGACTACATGGTGTACTGAGTATATGGTTTCTGTTTAGAGTTCTAATCTTACGTCCTGTTGGCCACGCAGTCGTGAAAACTGCAAGTCTCTTGCTAGTTTTCGTAAAAAAAAGTCAGCGGTAGTGGTATGGGGAACCGGAAACAGGAGCACGAAGAAACTTGAGCACGGAAAGTTGAGCACAGAAAGATGAGCGTGGGAAAGATGCGCGCTTGGAAATATGAGTACAAATTTAGAGTTTATTCACTAAATTTTCAAACAGTCTAAAAAATTTTTAAGAGAAAATTAATTTAATCAATTTATTCAATATACTATTATATGAAATATTCAATTTTTTATTTACATAACCAATAAAGAAAGAAATATTTATTTTATAAGCAAATATTATGTACGATACCAGAGATCTTCATTAAACTTTTGAAGTTCACCTGTAATACTGTTACTTTTGCATGTATGATCAGAAAGTGGAGTTATAACATTATTGTTAATATTACATGTATGGGAATCATGACATTTTTGAGAACTATAATATATACAAGGCCAATATGTTTTATTTTCAGTACACCGATCTTTTATATATGAAAAACCTTAGAACTTAAGTCGAGATTTTTGTTTAGTGGTACATGATACTGATGCAGAAGATGTTGCTGTGAACATTTTTTTTCAAAATGAGAAAGTGAGTTGAGAAGTGAAACTGAATTGCGAAAAAAGTTATGAATATATAATAGTATATTGAATTTAGATGAATCATCCCAATCAATAGTATATTGTTTAAATTGTCAGCAACTCTGTTGTAAAGTTGGACACTTACATTTTTGATCCCGGAAATTAAGCACAATTGATCCCGTGTACTAATTTTCGCGAAAAAATGCACAAATGATCCCGGTTTTCCTAATAATTTTTAATTAGTTATATAACAGCACAACTGATCCGGGAAAAAGCTTTTTTTTTTCGCGACTAACATAATTGATCCCGGGAAATAAGCAAATCATGGCACTGCACCGTCTTTCAACTGAGGCTCATTGACCAACTATGTGGTCTCACTTTAACCATAGGATTTAACTGCACAAAACATTGATATTATGGAATAGACAAAAGGACAGAAGAACAAAAGAAACAAAATAACCTAACAAAAAATATAATCGTGCCTATTGTTGAATACCACGAAATAATGTACGAAATGTATCAGCTGATTCGTCTGTTGATATTAAACAAATACCCATAGGATAAAATCTACGATTACAATCAGATGTCCCAAATACTAATAATGGTAATTCATTTGTTGTTATTTTGTAGGTGCAGTCAACAGCTAGTACGGACGAATATTTACATGCAAATAATAACTGACGTGTTGTTAAACATATAAATAAATCATTCACATCATTAGCCACATAATAAGGTATAAATATGTCGTGTTGCTTATTTGGTTGTGGTACATTTTGACGTAATGAACACCATTGTTGTAAATCTTGAATGAATTTAATACTTGAACG